GGGAGAGCAGAAAGGTCCGGCCCCCACCCCCCCCCCCCCGGCGCCATACCCGATACCAGGCCACATTGGTAGAGTGCTGTTCCAGAAAGTATACGCGTATAATGGTCACGGCTACCCAGATGTACTTTTATATGAACATTTGTAATAAGTTGTTAGAGATCCCCTGTCTAGGGGATCACTAACTGTCTAGGCCTTCCTGCATTATCCTCACCACCCGGAGTAGATGGGCTTCTCTCCCGGCTGTTAGGGATAACAGTGACATCTAGGGCTGCCAACTCTGAGTTTGCTACCCACACATCTTCACCCAACTTAGCAAATTTGTTTGGGTGCACAAACACAGGACTGGCCTTCCTTTTCTGTGAGCCCCTGCCACTCCCTCTAGCTACAGCAACCCAAATCATCCTGACTTACCCCTCCACATCAACCCCATTAACTGCCTGCTCAGTGACAAGCATACTCCTCTTAATGTTGTCAAGCCTCCTCAGTGTTACAATTCGCTCCACCAGATCTCTAATGTGAGCTTCCAGGAGTGCAACCTGCTCACATTTATCACAGCGGTATTCATCCTGGAGCTGTGACTCCATTTGTGTATACATGTGATACAGTGTGCACTCAACAAACCCTTCAACCATACTAGTATACATTATCCCAGTTACAATGTTTATATTAGTTATAGGAAGTTAAAGATAGTGCTTCCAGTTCAAACTCGAATTGTTTCACCGGCAATGTTTTAACACCATTTAGATCCAGCCACTGTGTGAGCAAGCTCAATGTGAGTTGTGCACTTGCTTATATTACATCAGATTAGCAAGAGACACCTGGGATCAATGAACCACTCCCCGTAACGAGTGAGCGAGCTCAATGTAAGTGGTGCACTTGCTTATATTACACCTGATTAACAAGGAGACACCTGGGATCAATGAACCCCTCCCTAACCAGAGAGCTGCAAACCAGAGAGAGGAGAAAAAAAAGTGCAATTTAAAAAACTGACAGAAAAGGAAAAACTGTGTCTAAAAACTGACAAAGCCTAAAAAAACACAACTTCCAAAAGCAAACACTCAGCACTCAATGTATCCCACAAATTGCATGTATGTTTGTTCTGGGTGATTTTGGCAAGAACATACATGCAGGTTTGAGGAGCAAAGGGCTCTGCAAATTTTTTTAAACTACATCCCTTTGTGCTATTCAGCAGAAGTTGCACTACATCCACAATGCACTCCCAGAGTGGTATTGACAGGATTGCAGTTTTGGAGTAAGTTCAAATAAAAGTTCAGCGCTCTTAATTAGCTAAATAAAGTCCTAAAACCCAAACAATAGCTGCCAACAGCTAAATCAATTATATTCATTCAATAAGCATTAAATAATTGGATGTTGGACTCTCATTGTTTAATTATATAGTCACTTTATTATTTTTAGTGTTGCACATTTTTATATTATTGATGTACACATTATGGGGGTATTTATCAAAACTGGAGCAGACAATATCTGGAGCAGCTGTGCATGGCAAGCAATTAGCTTCTCTCTGCAGTTTGTTCAGTTAAGATTTGAAAGTAAAAGAGAGAACTTGATTGGTTTGCCATGCAAAGCTGCTCCAGATTTTGTCTGCTCCAGTTTTGATAAATTCCCCTCATTATGTTTTGTGTTTTGCTTTAAAGTGACACTATACTCAGGAGTGAAACCTTAAAAATACATTCAAGTACCCTAACCATTAACAAAAATGTATCTTATTTGTGTATCACTCGGCTCTAGATCCTCAAATAATTTCTGAATTGGTGCTGACACTGTCCTTCCTTCTGGAGGGTGGCTACTATTGTTCCCCATGGTCCCTGTGTGTGTTGTAAAGTAGTCGCCGCTCCAAGCTCGCTTCCATGATGGACTACAATCTCGGTATGAATTGACGAACTAAATGTGCGATTTGTAGTCCATCATGTGAGTGAGCTTGGAGCGTTGGCTACTTCACAACACACAGGGACCATGGGGAATAAAAGTTTCCACCCATCGAAGGAAGGACAGTGTCAGTACCAATACAGAGATGATTTGAGGATCTATAGCCGAGTGAAACACAAATAAGATACATTTTGTTAATAGTTAAGGTACTTGAATGTATTTTTAAGTATTGTATTCAAAAATGTATTTTTGAACTCCTGAGTTTAGTGTCAATTTAGCTATAGATACAGGATTACTAATAAATGACTTCTTAATGTGTTTTACAGAACAGAGAAGGTGGATCAAGTGATCAAACAGTGGGAAGGTTCCTTCTTCACAGACAATCCAAAACTAAGAAAGAAATCCGTGTCCTTAAGATTTGACCTTCACCTGGCAGCTGCAGATGAATCGTGCGTCCAAACTAAAAAGGACGATCTACCCGATATAGAGGTTCGGCTAATTATGAGGCGATCATGTAGTATTCCCACCATGAGTCCATGAACTTTCAGTCACCATTCCAAAGACTAGTAGGGACAGCCTGAATGTTATATGAGTGTCATAGTAGCACTAGTAGTACCATGGCAATTGTATGAAACTATGTATCAGTTAAATGGAAACTCTGAAACCAAATTCACGCACAAGTGTTACTTTTTATATCATTAGACTGTATATATATATTTATTGCGCCAAATAGCAATAGCTGCAGAGAAGTTATGCTTTGCCTTTTTAGCCTTCATTTGGGATTTAAGTGTTACTAAACCCAAGTCCTAAAAAAATACATCTTCAATATGTATGTTAGTTAGCTGTGTCCCTTCTAATGCCAACGTCCCACAGCACATCTAGAAAAAGATATTTAAATTCTCCTCGGCTCTAACTTCCTATATGAAGATGGCTAACTTTGCTCTACATGGTCCCATTGTATGTGGGTACATAACCTTGCCCCTGAGATGGATTAAATTAATACATGCTGACGCATCCAGCACGGGCACGTAAAATTAAAGCACAAAGCCTATTGATGAAATCTTTGCCAACACAGCACTGGCCCCAACATTTACCCTGATGTAAACAAAAGGGGTAGTTTGAGGAGAGCCCATGACCGCAGTACCCGTGCACTGTTTACCCCCACCGACTAGATGAAAGGAGCCTGCTTGGGGTGCACCAAAGACAAGTTTGATATCACAAGGGAAGCAGTATGTGTAATTTATTACCACATTGTATTAATTGGCTGTGGTGTGTAAGTGTAGGCTGGATGCAGACTTAATATAAACCAGGAGAGTGTAACTTTAATTTGCATCCTGTCTACTTCTTAAGCTGGCCAACCATGCAGAAAATTGTAGCCAGTTCTTGATGAATCGGCTTGAATATGCTCCATGGATGGCCCTGTCGCTAGCCTCCTGCCTGACATCCTTCGATGTGAAAATCAGACGAGCCGGATAGAAAATTGTCAGCCAACAGTGATTGCGGCTGATTGACGTTTGGGTGAGTATTCTGACAACGGCACACCAACTTCTGTCAAAATACAATAGCCCAGCAGGAGGAATTTCCCCATCCACGCTATTCAGCATTGTGGAGGAATATGTCGGGGGTGAATGAAAAAACCTTCTAGTGCCTTGGTTCTCAACTGGTGGGTCGTGACCCAAAAGTGGGTCGTGACCCCGTGTTCAGTGGGTCGCCACATGCCTTCCACTTTTCTAGATGAGAGGCTCCTCAGCCTCCCCCTAGCGCAGCACTGTCTGTTCTCCCACTGAGCAGCCATTCAAAATATACTGCCTGGCTGGAGTGTCAGCTTGAGGTGGGTTGGGGTGGGGTTTGCTGTGGGTATGGCAGCGAGGGAGCTCCATCCAAACCATGTCCATTAATGTATTTCATGTGCAAGTATATTTTTGCACTGTAGAGTAGGGACTAGTCAGAGAGGGATCATTTTGATGCAATTGGCTAGTTTAAACATGTTTTGCAATATATGCGAACCACGAATACCTGATTTATGCAAAATGTTTCTACAAATATGTAAGCATCTATAGCAGTGTGCAGAGGGTTAATTCAGAATCTTCAGTCTTCCCAGAAGGCACACAGACAGTGTTAGGATAGCTGGTAGTAGTTAGTCACAATTACCTGGACTTGTTCGGTAATGTTGAAGACGATTCGTAGCTTATACCCAAAGCACTTCTTCAGTTCTAATGGGTGTGGAGAACATATCACATTACCGTACCGCATTTACAGCGATCAGCCATAACATTATGACTACCCTCCTAATATTGAGTAGGTCCCCCTTTTGCAGACAAAAAAAGCCCTGGCCCATCGAGGCGTAGACTCCACTAGACCTCTGAGGGCCTGTTCACATGAGATCAGGTCCTGATCAGCAGACGTGGAGCTGCTGATGCATTGCGTTTTTGGCTGCGTTTGGCCGCATTTTGGATGCGTTCCAGCAGTGGGGCTGTTAGTATGTTAGCTGCAGCGCAGTGCGTTTTTGATGCGTTTTTGACGCGTTTGCGTATCCGTTCCGTTTCCGGACCTGACAAAATGTGACATGCAGTATTTTTTCTGTCGTAAGCTGAACGGACTGCGCACATGAGAACTGGAGCCCATAAAACACAAAAGGATACATTGGGATGCATTTTGAGTGCAGCAGCGTACGGAGCCGGTCAGCACACAAAACGGACGGCGTGTGAACAGGCCCTGAAGGTATACTGTGGTATCTGGCATAAAGCTGTCAGTAGCAGATCCTTTAAGTTCTGTAAGTTGCGAGATGGGGCTTCAACGGATTGGACTTGTTTCAACTTATCTCACAGAGGCTCGATTGGATTAGACCTGGAGAATTTGGAGACCAAGTCAACACCTCAAACTTTTGACCACTGAAGACCGAGGAACATCACACCACAGCCGTAGTTTTGGAGTTGTTCTGACCAAGTCGAATAGCAATCCTAAGGCCCTTGTCGAAGTCTCTCAAATCCTTACACTTGCCCATTTTTTCTGCTTTCAATACATCAACTTCAGGGACAAATTGTCCCCCATTCATTTCAATATATTTTTATTAAGGGTTTTCAATAAGACAGAGATACATAACATGTTGACAGCCACTGTAACAATAAAGTGGTAATGTTTAACTTCGAAATCAAAGTAAATGGATATTTGTAGGCAATATACAATATGTTGTAATAAAGCAGTCAATTATTATCATCTTATAGCAACAACAAAAATGATTAAAGAAAAAAACAATTAGATAAATAAATAAAAGGAATGAAGAACCAGTTAGAGTGGTATATCATTAACCAAACAGGTTTAAATCATGTAAAGTCAGAACAATATAATGAATTTAAAAGGGTTTGTATTTTAGGGTCTTTTTAGGTGCCGTTTTAATGAGATAATCAATGTAATTCACTTCACCTCTCAGTGGTGATAATGGTTTGGCTGATCGGTGTATATCCACATAGGTAGCACAGCTCTAATTCCATCAGCATGGAAAGGCAGATGTTGATGTTGCGAAAGGTCTGGAACCACTCTATTCTACATACATAATCCCATCCTTAGTGTCAGTCTGCATAGGTGTTAAACCTCCAGTTTACATGGCTAAGGGTGTGAATTGTTGTCCAAACACCCGGAAAAAGATGTTCAAACGCCATTATATCTGGGAGAAAAATGGTGTTGAAGGCTCCCGCCCCTGTTGAAAGATGATTGAGAACCAGTTGTCTTCTCTTCCAAAATGTGCATATTCTCAAAAGAACATCGTCGTGACCTGTAGAATGTATCCTCCTATGTTGGGCCTTCAATGCGATCTGTCTCCCATATATAATGCTGTTTTAACATCTCTACTAGCTATACCATGACCTGGATAAATGAGAACCTTAACAGGGATCTTGACAGAGGTTCTAGCCTTCCCCTACTCTTTTCAAAACTGAAATTAAATTGACAATTGACTCAATTGAATTTAGTTAGGCAGCACACATTTCAAATTTTGCCACGGACTTGACTACATGCTGTTGGATTTGGGTACATGGTATAGAATGGGTTATGCTTAAAGAAAGTTTCCACTTAAAGTACAACTCCACTGTTGTTAAAGAATGTGCAATCCCCTCTGGGAGATCTAGGCACATTGCAAGGGTTTCATCAAACTTTCTTGCAGATTCCTACCGTTTTCTGTTCTGAAGAATAAGCTGTTTGTTTCACCATGTCCTATCCAGACTAATTCCTGAATGGGAGGGTCTGGGTTCATTATAGTCACCTGACCAAACCCCTGTGTTCTAATAAGGCAAGCAGCAGGGTCTGCATCCCTTTAGTAGACAAGCCTAAGGCCTATAGCCTTAGGCCTAAGCCTATAGCTGGAGGAATGCCATTTCCACGGCAATATCGCCACTAGAAGGCGCAGAGGAGCATAGGGAATTCCTATGCTCCTTAGCACCATCTAGTGGCGGAAGATTTATAAATCCGCCCCCAACTGTGTACCTAACACCTTCAAGTTTCAACCTTCAATGTTGCATTGACAGTTTTAGAAAATTACACTGATTGCAGATTAAAATGCAAAGGTTATTTTTTAATAACATAAAATTATAAAATGACTTGCGTAGCAATTTTATATACTACATTGTTTTTTTTTTTTAATTAATCAGAGTTTAAAGGGAAAAAAGTAGAAAACATATCTAGCTCTAATGTATGTCATTTGTAATTTAAACTGGAAAAATTAACTCTGCAACAGTGACCGTGTACTAAGGCTGGTATCCTTATTAATAAGTTTTGTCCCAGGTAAGGTCTTGTGGTCCATTCAGGGCTGTATTTAAGGTGGGGCAAAAGGGGCAGCATTGTTGTGGGGCTGTGCACACCCATAAACTAGTGCTAATCCTGCGCCGGCTGCCTTTTCTGCACCACCCCATCCCAACTGCTAGAGGGCAGCAGCCTCCACTCCCTACAGGCATCTGCAATCTCTGCAACCCGGGATGTCACCTCCTGCTCAGTCAGCGGAGGAGGATGGATTGTTCCCTGCACACTGCCGCAGGGTCCCAGCCTCCCCCCTCCATTGCTGCAGCCTCTGCTGCCCCTTGCTCACGGTGAGTCCTAATGGCTGCTAGGTTGGGCCTCTATAGGGGGGAGAGCATCATAGAGGGTGGGGTGGGGCATTGTGACCGTCACAACAGCTGAGGGGCTCAGGGTGGGATGTTATGCCCATCATCCAATGTGTCACCATCTTTCATCATCGTGGCTGCCTCTGGATGTTCCTTAGGGACATGGATGGGACATGTATGACACTGCTGGGCTATGGCATAATATTGCCTGTTCTAACAATAATAATAATGACACCAGGGGAGATGGGGGAGGGGGCTGGAACAGCTAGAGGGGTAAAGCCAGCTATCAATCAGGTAGCGGGGTGGATCCTGACAATATTGTCGGGATCTTTTCCAGCTGAAGTACGGCTCTATGCTGTCAGCATATAGTGGGCAATATTGCATTGCGGGTGTGTGGCAGATAAGGGGAGGGGGGCGTGGCAGGGGGCCCAAGAAAATGTTTGCCCGGTCCAATCAATATTAAAGATGGCCCTTGGTCCATTAATGTCTGATATGTACTGGAAATGGTGAATAGGTTCGGAATTCCCTAGTTAAAGCTCACCTAAATCAGTCCTACTCTTATAATTTATAACAAGTTCATTTTATATGAATCGGAACTTCACACAATACATTGTCATGGTTATAGTTATAAACCCTCTTAATAACTTGAAAATTATATACAGCCTTGTATTTATTTTTGCCATCACTAGTCT